TGTCCAACTTTTTGGTGGTTGTCCAATTGCCCCGGGCGATATCCTGACGACCATGCCGATCCCTTTCCTCTTTGCTGCAAATGCCAAACACGGCACACACCTGCACAGAGCAAATCCGTGCCCTGCATACGGAGCTCGATGCTGCTGGGCAGAAGGTCATCTCGGCCACACACGCCAGCCAGAGCCAGGCTCACGAGGCGGATGCCGCGCGGAAACGCCGTGCCGAGCTGGAGACGGTATGTTCCACCTCCTGTCGCGACCATCTGCATCCCCCATGTGGCCCGCTTTATGTCTCCCTCTCTCCCTCTCTCCCTGTGTATCTCTTCCTCTCTCTCTCTTTCTCTGCCCACCTGACTCTTGTGCACCATGTCCTCTGGCTCCATTATTGTACATCGCTCTCCCCTGCTTCGCTCCGTGCTCCCCTCCCCCCTGGTCCCACTCTCAGAGCATTCTCTCCATGCTGGAGGACCACCGTGTCCAGTTGGACGACCACCTGAAGGCGCAGCAGAAGCTCGAGACCCAGCTGGATTTGGAGCGCAAGCGCGCGGCCAAGATGGAGTCCGACTATGAGCAGAAGATCCAGAACCTGGCGGACAACGTTTACCATCCCTGAGAAGATGGCACGCTTGTCGCCACTCTCCCCCGGAGAGAGGGTGTCAGAGAGAAAGATGCATGCCCCTTCTGCCGCCCTGCCTTTTTCTCATGCTCCCCCCTGTTCCATACGCGTTCCTGCACGCCGCGCACGTCACTCTCCTGTGCCTTGACATCAACCAACTCGATAAAACACAAAACCCTCCCTCTTGTTTTGGCCGCCCACACACCGTGGCCCGCCGCCAGTGCAGGAAGACGGAGAGAGAGAGAGAGAGAGAGAGAAGGGAGAGGGAGGGAGGAGGGAGGAGGGGGAGGGGAGAGGGAGGACATGGGACAAGCAAAATAAGAGGAGGGCCACTTCCTACCAGGCGACGGTGGCGTCGATCAACGCATCCCAGGCCCCCTCGGCCAGGGCCTCGCCCAACAGAGGAAGCACCACCGGGCCGAGGTGGATGAAATCCAACTTCGAGTGGAAGTAGCTGGCAACCAGTCCGGCCGCAACCGGGCCATCAGTATCCCCGACAAAAAGCCCGGCATAATGATCTAGCAGGACACGGCGGGGGCTGTCCGCTGTCAGGGCTCCCTGGGGGTGAACAGCCTCCGCCAGGGCCAAAATAAGCTCCGGAGGGCAGGGGTCTGCACATGCGGCCAGACGCCCGGGGAGATTCGGCCGTCCGGTGAATGTGGCTCCGGTAAGCGCATCTAGATACCCGGTGAGCCAGTGGATGTGGGAACCAGGAGCAGCGGCGGCCATCGTCCGTGCGTGTATCGCCATCAGCAACCGGTTGAGGGTGGCAGCGCAGAAGAGCTCCAGACGCAAGTCCGCCCGCACATCCAGGCCCGACAACACGCCCCCAGGACAGGCATCCACTCGGAGCCCGGAGGCGCAAACATCGAAGGAGAGCGCGGCAAAGGCCGCCCACGACGCTCTTCCGATCTCGGTTGAGGGTGGCAGCGCAGAAGAGCTCCAGACGCAAGTCCGCCCGCACATCCAGGCCCGACAACACGCCCCCAGGACAGGCATCCACTCGGAGCCCGGAGGCGCAAACATCGAAGGAGAGCGCGGCAAAGGCCGCCCGCACTGGCGGACGGACTGGAAGCAGGACCATGTGAGCTGGTGCCCGGCCAGCCTGGATATGTGCCAGGCCCCGTGCCAGGCCATGTGCCGTGTCCAAACATGCCAGAGCCAGGGCCACTCGCCACAGATGCTCAGATCGGAAGAGCGTCGTGTATGCCCGGCCAGCCTGGATATGTGCCAGGCCCCGTGCCAGGCCATGTGCCGTGTCCAAACATGCCAGAGCCAGGGCCACTCGCCACAGATGCTCGTCGTGGATTTGGCCGCGGCAGCCCGAGCACAGAGGAAGATACTGCTCGGCCTGCCAAGAAGCGGGGAGGAAGTCCTCGAGACCGGGGGCAAGTTCGCCCACCGATGTGATTCCTCGCTGGCGAAGAATCGCGAGCCATCGACCAGCGGCCGAGTGCAGGCCAGATAGCCGAGCCTCGGGTCCTGGAAGACCGGCGCTTGCCTGGCCCAAGCGGCAGTCAATCTCCCCACAGCTGACTACCACGACCGAGCCGCGGGGTAGAAGACGAGCGGCCCACTGGATGATGGCACGCTCGCGCGCACCAGACATGCTGCGTGGACTTTGGTCTGGCTTCGTGACGCTGCCAAGACCGCCGCTGGCCGCAATCTCAGGGGGTGCAATTCCCGCAAAGTGGTGAGCTGATTGGCGGGCAGGTGGAGGAGGAAGAGGAGGACCGGTCACAGAGGTCAGTCCGACACAGGACAAATACAAAGGCAGACAGAGAGGAAAAGCGGAGAGCAAGATGTAGAGGGGAAGAGAGAGGGGGGGGGGAGAAAAGGAAAGGTCCGAAGGGCACACACCCTTGGCACCCATGCAAAGGAGGGGGATGCACAAGTATTGCGCCCCGTCACCGGGCTCCAGCATGCGCCATGCCTGGGTGAGGATGTGCGAGTCGCCGAGGAACCACAGCCGCCGAGGACGGCTCCCAGCCAGGCTGAACAACGAATGCGGCAACTCCGGCAGGCCGAGCACCGTGCGGGAGAATGCAGCCACTGTCGGCAGGCGGACCTGCAGGACGTCCCAGAGATCGGGCTGAAGCTCGGCACATCGGTGCGTCAGGAGCCCGGGAAGGCATCGTGCAAGAGCATGGCACTGGGCCGAGAGGACGCCGCATGAGGAGTCCCCGAAGGCGGGCTCGTGGTCGCATGACGGGGAACAAGCTCCAGGAGTGTCGGGGAGTGGCGAGGCATCGAACTCCGCCCGACTGCCGGGACTCCAGTCGCTGAGGCGAACATGCAAGCCAGTCACCTCGACTGGGGCGATCAAATCGCCATGGGCAAGTGGATCACCAGGAAGCAGGCCAGCCAGAACCCCCTGACCGGGGCCACCCATGTCCGGCTCCGACCCGTCATCCGGCAGGAAGAGCGATGCACCCGGAGGGTGGAGGAAGCAGGCCAGCTGGAAGATCATGGTCGCAGCCAGCCGATAGAGGCCGCTACATGCCACCAGACCCCCATCATTGACCAAGGCCGCAGCATCGGACCAGGCCAGCGCCGCGGCCGTTGGCGGGTCATTCACCAGCAATCGAGCGCGGGCAACATCGAAGCGGAGCTGCGCCGCGCGGGCCATATCTCCCTGTGTAGCTGACGCCGGCGTGGCGTAGAGGGTGGCCAAGTCCGACAGCCTCGGGGCAGCCGCGCCGATGGGCCGAATGAAGGCATGGTATGCCCGGATGAAGGCATCGCCACTGGCAACCGGAGTCTCCCCCGCGAGGGTTTCCCGCTGTGAAGCCAACACCAACACCAGATCCAGGGCCCGCTGGAGATGGGCCACCCCGGGAGCAAAGCGGCCATGCTCCTCGATCAGGAGCTTCCCCATGAGGAAGTGACTGTCGACCAGGCGATCGATCGTGTCGGCCAATTGGCCGGCCGGGGTTTCGCGCCAGGCAGCCAGCGCATCGAGGCCAGCTGCCAGAGCGAGACACGTCCGAGATACCACCTCGTCCAGGCAGGCCTGGCGACCGGGGACTTTTTCTGGAGAACCCGCCGGAGGAGCATGCGGGTCAAGGGGGCTGGCTGCCGGGGGAGGGGGCAGCGCCCGTCCGTCGGCCGGAAAGCGTCGATGCAGGTCCGAGTAGCTTTGCCAGGCATCGGCAACCAATCGTGAAAGGTCGCCCGCTGTCATTCGGGGGAAGGGGGGGGGGGCGGGCGGGAGGGGAAAGGAGTCGCAGAGGAAAATGTGCAGGAGTCAGGCTTACGAAGAGCCCCCACGCGGTCGGACCCCACAGCGCCCTTTTGGAAAGGGCAAAGCGACTCGAGCGATCTGCCAGAGGGCCCCGTCGGACACGCAGTCCAAGCCGCTGGTTGCCCCCCCCCCCCCCCCCCCCCCCCCCCCCCCCCCCCCCCCCCCCCCCCCCCCCCCCTGGCACTCCGGCGACACCCCCCCCCCCGAATACATTGCTTGCGGAAGGTGTGGGGGGAGAAAAAACACCCGCTATCTATTCCGTTGGGACTTGGGCCCCTCACGGGCGCCAGACCCGAAGGCCGCCTGACAAGGACCAGGTGGCGATGATGTTGCTGTGCGGGTGAGCCGCCACGCCGAGGACCTCATCGGTGCCGACCTGCTTCGGGTCGATGACCTCCATGGATGCGGCGCAGGTACCCTGGTCCAGGCGCAGGGTGTACAAGCGCCCCTCGGTGGTGGCGGCGAAAGCCACGGTCGATTTGTATGAGAGAGCCGCCGCCAGGAAGACCTTGTTCTCATCGACGACAGCCCCGCCGGCTGGGGTATCACCATCATCGTCGCCGGTGGGTGCGGCGATCTGGGCAACAGGCTGAAGAGGGAGAGGGGCGAGGGGCGAGGCAATCATCGTCAGAGGAGGACGATCTGAGGTAGGGAAAGAGGGAAAGAGGGAAAGAGGGAAAGAGGGAAAGAGGGAAAGAGGGAAAGAGGGAAAGAGGGAAAGAGGGGAAGAGGGAAAGAGGGAGAGAGAGAGAGAGAGAGAGAGAGAGAGAGAGAGAGAGATGCATCAACATACCTGCCCCTTGAGCGTCATGATTGACAAAACCGGCGACCGGGCGCACACGATCACCTGCTCACGGTCGCGGGCACTGAGCAGCGCAGCGAAGATCGGCGCTCCGCCGGCGACGATCTCGGTCCTGAGCATGGAGGCGCCGGGCGCGCTGTCGGCCGGGCTCGGGGCACGCGGGCGGAAGGAGGCAATCGATTCGCCGGTGGTCACGCTCCAAACGCGCACCGTGCCGTCGGACGAGCTGCTGATGATCCGTGCACGATCGGACACATGGGCCACATCGGTCACCGGGGCCGTGTGCCCGCGCATTTCACGCAGCTGGTGCCCGGAATCCATGCCAAATAGCCGGACCGAGTGGTCGTGCGAGCCGGTCAGGACAAAGCGCCCGCAGCGGCTCATGGCGAGGGCCGACACCGCTTGGGTGTGTGCCTTGGGGAACCGGCGTGCCGTCTTGCCAGTGGCGAAATGCCACACCTGCACGGCGCCCGACTCGTCACCAGCTGCCAGCAGTGAACCATCCTGGTTGAAGGACAGGGCGTATACGGCCCCACCCTTCATGAAGAGCATGTTGTCCTGTAGGTATCCCAAGCGAAAGTGGGCGGGTTGGGTGGGTGGGGGGGAGAGGGAGAGAGGGTATGAGAGGAAGAAAGAGGCATCGGCAGGGGGGGGGGGAAGAGAGGGGGTCGGAGGGGGGGGCCCTTCGGCAGGATGGCAACGAGGGGCGATATCTGCACGCACCTCGCTCTGGAAGGCAACATCCGTGGCACGGCGCCCGGTGACATAATCCCAAGCCTCGATGAGGCCGTCCGACGCACCGGTGAGCAGGTGCCGTCCATTTGGAGCAAAGCGTGCAATCGTGCATCGGGACGAGCTCGGAAACTGACATGGGCACGGGTAAACATGTGAGCAAGGAGCCCGAGAGGCCCGACGGCGAGACAATCATAACCCCGGGGGGAGGGGGGGAGGGAGGCAGGGGCGGCGGACAGACAGCCAATTGCCAAGCAGGAGCACAAGGACAGCACGCACGCGAATGCTCCGGAGGTGATGCTTGGGCGGGGCATCATCCAGTGGGGTGCCGGACTCCTGGGTGGTGGTACCCTGGAAAATGTTGTGCCGAACCGGGACACCGGCAGCCAGGGGCGAGCTCATGACCCCGCCGTCGAGGATACCCTGGGACTTTTGCCACTTGAGCGCCTGGCCGAGGAGCGTCACCAGGCGTGAAGGCGCAACGACAACCACCTCGGCAGCAAGAGCCTGGGCAATGGCCGCACGGCGGTCGTGCCGGGCCTTGCGCGCAGACACGCCAAGCCCCGAGGCCAGACCGTATGCCTCCTCGGTGGAGAAGTCCGACCGGTGTGTGAGGGTTTCCAGGCGGTTGTGCCGCCCGGGGTCCGACGTACGCAGGGAGGCTAGCGGGATGCTATCCGACAGGAGGGCTCGGGCGGCCTGGAGCTCGCGGAGCTCGATCAGCTCAATGACAATCTGAGCACCGAGGAGAGTCAGCGCAGGAATGCGTGCGGCCATGACCGCTGAGCGAGAACCGGGGCGCTTGGCGGGGGCAGAGAAAGAGAAAGAGGGGGGGGGGGGGATGGGCATCATTCGAAGTCATGGCGGACGAAGGACACATGGCGTACCTGCTCATACAAGTCGATGAGCTTGGCGGGCGGCAGGCGCAGCGGAGCCACAGCCGCCAGGACCTCATCCCAGCGGCCCTCGAGGACGTCGGACACGAACTCATCAGTCGAGGCGACGGTGTTCAAGTGGACATCGGCCTCCTCCTGTGGCGGAGCCGATACATGAGAGCGGATGTCCAGAAAGGAGGGACCGCGAGGACAGCGAGGACAGCGGGTCAGCTGGGTGACAGGGCGAAAGGCACGAGGACAAGGGCCCCGGCGTGGGAAGAGCGAACCTCAAGCGAACGGGCGGACTCGCCGAGATTGTTTTCCTTGAGAAATTGGATGATCAGACGGACAATGCTGTGCATGAGGGCCAGGATGGTGTGAGTGAGCGGCACAAGCGGGGTCGGGCCGAGAGAAGGGTCAAGTAGGGGCGCACTCCGTGGTCTCGATTTCAGCACTCATGGGGGCCGGGGAAGGTGCTGCAAGGGGTGCACAGGGCGCGTGGTCGAAGGGGGGGGAGCCGAGGCAAGGACAAGGAAAGAGAGGGCGAGCAA